GTTTTTTTTCGTAAATTAAAGTTCAATTATGGATCAAAATATTTTCTCTGGAACGGTCCTGTCCGTGTGCTGTACGATGAGTTACATGCTGTAGACCAGCCGCGTAAACAGATCGTCGTTGAAAGACAGAAAGATACTTCTCAATTTTTGGGGAATTTTTCAATGCAAAAGGACAAACTAAGAAAAATAGATATTAAAAATACTGATATTTTCTTATTATAATAGTTAATAGTAATTACTGTCTTAAATGCATTGTTGCTGCAGCAAGAGTTCGCAAACAAAACCACATTCGTAAACATCTGTAGTTGCTAACTGCGTGCACTAAACAAACTCCATTAAAATATGGAACAAAATGAAATAAAATTTTAACATTTCTAGAGAAAATGTTGAAATTGATCCCCATTAGCGCGGATACATGCATGGCACCGACGCACCCAATTTTGACGAATATTTTCCCAAATTCCAGGTATTCCCCTGATTGTGTCAGCAGCTTCAAGTATACGGTTTCACAATTCTTCCACCGTAGCAATTGGAGTATTGTAAACCAATGACTTCAAGTGACTCCAAAGATAAAAGTCCATTGGAGTTAGATCGGGTGACCGAGGTGGCCACGGCACACGACCAAAGCGTCCAATCCATCGCTGAGGAAACATGGCGTTACTTCTCGAGTACTGTGTGGAGGAGCCCCATCTTCGAACTTGTAATGCCACATTGTCCGATAACTCAGGCAACCGGTTCTCCAAAATGTCAGCATATGTTGGTCCATTTAGTCGTCCTTCAAAGAAATAGGGACCCACAAGTACATCGCCTATTATGCCAGCCCAAACATTTACCGATAACCGACGTTGAAAGTGAGTTTCCCTAATCGCATGAGGTTTTGATCAGCCCATATGTGAATATTATGGAAATTCTCTTCATCACGGGTAAATGTCGCCTAATCTGTTACACAAACATAAGCAGGAAAGTCTACTTTATTGGCACATTGCCGTAAAAACCATCTGCAAAAACGCATTCGTTGATCACAACCCGGGGGCAAAATCTGCTGAACCGGTTGCAGATGATAGGGGTGCAACAGCTGGCGCCTTAAGATGCGATGTACGGTACGAGATGAGGTTCCTACTTGATATGCGAGTCGTCGAGTACTAATTGTGGGGTCTTCGTCAAGATTTTCCAACACAGCATTTTCAACATTAAAGTTCACTTGCTAACCACGTCCTTCTCCTCGAGGAATAACACTTCCCGTGTCTCGCAGCCGCTGAACGCACTGTAGGATTGTATTTGCACTTGGAGGGTGACGTTGTGGCCATCGTTCCTGGTACAACCAAATCGCCGCGAGCGCATTTTCTCCGGCTGCATCATACACTAACACCATATAGACACTTTCGGAAACAGTAAATGTATTGTTTTATCGGTTCCTTGTAAAACTAGTGTGTGCACAAACTAAAAAATTAAGTAAAGTAAAAAATCAGAATCTCGTTTTTAATGTAATCGGTACGCTATTCTTATTTTTTACTTCTTTATAAAAATTACACTATCACTATTGTGGAATTACAAAATAAAAACTAGAGGAAAGTCGCCTATTATGGGGTATATTCCTAATATGGGGTATGCATGTATTTTCGAAACTAAAATAGAGACATCTATGTTTCAATAGCCAAAGCACACCTTACAGGCTTGTATCGATATCTACTTAATGTTAAAGCCATGAACCAATCAGCTGTTCTGTCATTTTGGTTTACATGCTTGGAGTGTTGACAAAGTTTTATTTGGTGACTATTAAAAGGATTTTTTCTCAAATACAAGGTAAGTCTTGGCTATTTGTTGTGAACAGGCTAAAAGTAGGAGTGTTAATGTGTATTTTGTGCATATAAGTTTTTGCTTTTGTTTTTATTGAAACAAAAAAAAAATAATTGTATACTTTTTTCTAAACACGTCCTATTATGGGGTATCTGAAGTATTCCCAATATGGGGTCAGGAATTAATTATTATTAATTTGCAAATCCATTTTTTATAGATGCCAAACCAACGTAAAAGGAAGAACTGGGATGCCGAAAATATGATTGCAGCCATAAAAGCCTGTAGAAGTAAAACCATGGGTTACAAAAAAAGTGCTAAAACACACGGAGTACCACAAACGACGTTGGAAAGATTTGTTAAGATGAACGGGGATCCTGAAGTTGTAGTCCAAACCAAACTGGGTAAGAAACCAGTGTTTTCTCCAGAAATGGAAGATCATCTTTCCACACACTGCTTGCAAATGGAACAAAAATATTTTGGAATAACCAAAAAAGATATTTGCAGAATGGCATTTGCTTTGTGCAAAGAAAATAAAATAAAAAATCCTTTCAACAATGTAAAAGAGTGTGCAGGCTCTAAATGGTTCAAATGTTTTCTTCGGCGTCATCCAGAGCTCTCCCTAAGGACCCCTCAAGGAATTTCATACGCAAGAATAAAATCATTTACTCCGGATAACGTTTCCAAGTATTTTGATTTATATGAACCACAAATGGATAAAATTCAACATAATCCATCCAGAATATATAACTGCGATGAATCTGGGATATCAGTTGTCCAACATAAGCATATTAAAGTGATAGTTAGGAAGGAAAAAAAACAAATAGGAGCCATAACATCCGCAGAACAAGGATCTACTATAACTGTGGTTTTTTGTTTTAATGCCACAGGACAATATGTGCCACCATTGATAATATTCCCCAGGAAAAATATGAAGATTGAATTGATGAATGGTGCCCCGCCAGGTTCAATATACGCATGTCATCAGTCAGGCTGGATTCAACAGGAAATATTTGTTCAGTGGCTGCACCATTTCATTGAATTCACCAAGCCAACCAAAGAAGATCCTGTTATCCTTATTTTGGACGGCCATTATTCGCATACTAAGAATTTGGAGGTAGTTAATGTTGCAAGAGCCCATCATGTTGTAATAATTTGCCTGCCACCCCATTCTACCCATAAGATGCAGCCGTTAGATGTTGCATTTATGTCACCATTCAAAACATACTATGCACAGGAAATATCTCAATGGCTGAAGCAACATCCTGGTCGTGTGGTGACAGTTTACCAAGTCGCGGAGCTATTTGGCATGGCATATAATAGAGCAGCCACTGTGGAAACGGCAGTTAATGGGTTTAGAAAGACAGGAATGTTTCCAGTAAACCGAAATATTTTCCGAGATTACGATTTTGCTGACAACATTTTAAATGAAAATACAAAGGAAAATATTGGTGATATGGTGAATGATGGTGATATAGGGAATGCTGGTCATACGGTGAATGATGGTGCTATGAAAGGAATACCTAAAGATGATTCAATATCGAGCATCTCGACAGCAAATACTTCGGATGGTGTTCTTTCTGCTAGGTCAAAATTAGTTGCAGATCATGCCATTCCAAGCACTTCAAAGTGTAATTCTGAGGAGATTCTCCACATCACTCCTCCCAAAACTCTTACTGAAAGACTGATTTTACCCAGCAACATATTGCCTATTCCAAATTTGAGCAGCAAGATCGATGAACAGAAAAAATCCAGAGGTGGCAAGTGCGTTGTGGTTACGAGTACACCCTATAAGGAGGAACTGGAAGAGAGCGAAAAAAAGAAAACAATTGATCCCAAAACAACAAAAAGAAAAGTTTTCAACAAACAAAAACCAAAATTAAAAAAAGGGAAAAATACCAACAAAATAGAAAAAAAAATTAAAAAACGCAAGAAACAGACTAAAAAAGACTCATCATCTGAGTCAGATATGGAGGTGGAATTTCAAGAATCAGATGATTCTAATCAGGATGACATTGAAGCAGAATGCATGTTTTGTCATATTGTATTTAAGGATGATAAAAGTGGAGATGAGTGGGTTCAGTGTCAAGGATGTTTGGAATGGGCCCATGTCCACTGTGCTGGAAANCTATGTCTTTCCAAAGTTTCACTTGAGGGTACAAAAATGTGATAAAACAGTACACCAAGAAAAGTTTTCCGTATACGTCCCAAAAAAGACCTTTCTAGGGGAAGATTCTTGATCTTAATTGGAGAAATATGCTACTATTAAAAGAGACGATCTATTGAACAAAATCTTGCCTGACATATCAACTTTTTTTTGCTAATATTAGATAGTTAGATACTTTCATAAATATGCTGATTTTTTTCATATTTAGCTAAGCACCATTAAAATTTATATTCGTAATAATACTGGTCTTGAAGTTCCTTTGAGTTCTATTGAATAATTAGACTTAATAAGTAGGTATGTTATGTCACTACGAAGTACCATTCAACGAATTTTGAAATAATTAATGCGACTTGAGTGATTTTTTATGCTACCAAATGCGCATTTCTCGCAGTACTCAATTAATTATTTCAAATATTTACTTTCTACATGTAGTTATGTGCAGGTGTCACAGAATGCGTAGAGTCTATCTCCGATCAAATACGATAATAAAAAAATCGACACCGGTTCCTATTCTTATTCCGTCCGTATACGTAACCAGTTTCTATTTTTGGAAGGAACTGTTAATTGACAAAAAGTTTCTCCAAAAAAAATTTGATTAACTCAACATGCAAATCATTATTTAAGATTACAACACAAATCGGAGCAGTCCGGGTTTATCTGTTCGAATAATATAGCGGAGCGCGCGTATATAAAAAATTATGTAAGTATGTCCTGCAACAGTGGACTGTTTACGTCGTTTTTTTGTCTAAGCAGTGGATAAATGCTGGCACGAGGAAAATTGTGAAATATCCTATACGCGGCAATGCTTACTTCAGTTTATAAATGTAGGCACTTACCAAATTTTACTCTATTTTTTATTCTTCACTACTGTTTCAATAATATTTTAAAAATACCTTTTACCTGTTTTGACAAAAATTTTGGTCTATCCAATAGAATGTACAAACACTAAGTACCTATACTAAATGCTATATTTTCACAAAAGTAAATACAACACAATGTATTATATTGTATATATTGTAATGAAACCAAACAGTAACAAGGACCTTATAAGTTAAAAGTGCATTGTATAAACACAATTGGGTATAAATATTGATTTACTTTATACAAGGTGTGCAGTGTATAATCTATAAAAATTAAACTACAGCCAGTAGAATTTTTCAATGCAAAAGTAAATACAAACTAAGAAAAATAGATATTAAAAAAAAATACTGATATTTTCTTATTATAATAGTTAATAGTAATTACTGTCTTAAATGCATTGTTGCTGCAGCAAGAGTTCGCAAACAAAACCACATTCGTAAACATCTGTAGTTGCTAACTGCGTGCACTAAACAAACTCCATTAAAATATGGAACAAAATGAAATAAAATTTTAACATTTCTAGAGAAAATGTTGAAATTGATCCCCATTAGCGCGGATACATGCATGGCACCGACGCACCCAATTTTGACGAATATTTTCCCAAATTCCAGGTATTCCCCTGATTGTGTCAGCAGCTTCAAGTATACGGTTTCACAATTCTTCCACCGTAGCAATTGGAGTATTGTAAACCAATGACTTCAAGTGACTCCAAAGATAAAAGTCCATTGGAGTTAGATCGGGTGACCGAGGTGGCCACGGCACACGACCAAAGCGTCCAATCCATCGCTGAGGAAACATGGCGTTACTTCTCGAGTACTGTGTGGAGGAGCCCCATCTTCGAACTTGTAATGCCACATTGTCCGATAACTCAGGCAACCGGTTCTCCAAAATGTCAGCATATGTTGGTCCATTTAGTCGTCCTTCAAAGAAATAGGGACCCACAAGTACATCGCCTATTATGCCAGCCCAAACATTTACCGATAACCGACGTTGAAAGTGAGTTTCCCTAATCGCATGAGGTTTTGATCAGCCCATATGTGAATATTATGGAAATTCTCTTCATCACGGGTAAATGTCGCCTAATCTGTTACACAAACATAAGCAGGAAAGTCTACTTTATTGGCACATTGCCGTAAAAACCATCTGCAAAAACGCATTCGTTGATCACAATCCGGGGGCAAAATCTNCAGGATGACATTGAAGCAGAATGCATGTTTTGTCATATTGTATTTAAGGATGATAAAAGTGGAGATGAGGGGGTTCAGTGTCAAGGATGTTTGGAATGGGCCCATGTCCACTGTGCTGGAAATGACACGCCTAACTATATTTGTGACTTTTGTAGAAGCTTTTAAGTTTCGTATGTTTCGATTTTAAAGTTTGTTTAGGCAATATTTTATTTTTTCGTTGTTTTTGAACAAAAATCTGATTTCATTTCCATTTAGGATATTATATCTTGTTTATAACTATATGATTTGTATTATTTATCAATAAAATTTAAAAGATTCTGTCTATTTTTTTTTGTACTATACAAAATTGCACTAGATCATTTTTTCAGGTACCCCATATTAGGTCATATCAGGACCCCATATTAGGCTACCAGGTAGCCTTATATGGGGTAGGGACAATATTTGTAAATAATTTTTTTATAAAAAAATGTAATGTTTTAAATCTTTTTTTTATTCAAAATTATCTTGGTTCCATAATAAAGAATCAACTTTGTTAAAATGAAAGTTAAACAGAAATAAAAAATATGAATTTTTTCTAAAAATCAAAATGGTACCCCATAATAGGCGACTTTCCTCTATTGTCTGGAATCTTTCACTTTTTAACACTGATGAGTCGATGGACGATGCTTAATATTTAATAATTAAGTGAATAATGAATTCAATGCAAATACAAAATCAGCTGACTGCACCCATTTTTTGACAATGTAACCTAACCTTCTTTTAGTGTCACTAGTATTAGATTATACCGACTTAAATTATAAAGTTGCATCTCGGGTCGTATAAAAACATTTTCAAAATTTTTAATAAATAACACAGGGTCAGCCTTCATTTTCGTTGAAAAATGAACTTAAATTTACAAAAAAACTTTTTCGTATAAGACTTTTCTATTACAAATATCATCAGGAAGCTGTAGTTTAATTTTTATAGATTATACACACCACACCCTGTATAATATATTGCATACACAAGTGACTAAAGAATATATTTTGTGTCTTAAGTTACTTAAATAAAAGTGTTAAAACACCTTTAATTTTGACGTACAAACGCTGTTTTACATTTGGTGGCCTGTACTAATTAAAATTAATTTTTAATTAACACTATTTCGATGTGACATACGTTTAACATTTATAAATATGCATTAATTCTTGATAGGAGCAAATAGGGGTAAATATAATATTTCGGTAATTAAAATGACATGTTATTCACCGAAAGCAGAAATTAAAGCAGCACCTTTCAGGTAATTTGTTTCATTTTGCATTTGATTTCTGAGACATTAAAATATTTACTACAAAAAAAGTTGGACAAAAAAGCGGGCCACACGTCATTTACGGACACAACTATGGCCTTCTTTTCATGTAGTGTGTAAGTCGGGGACGATTCCAGAGGTTCCCAATAAGTATTAAAAATGTTTGTTATTATTAATTACTGTCCTTACCACATAACAAAATTTTCCATGCAGTTTCAACACAGAAACATGAGAACAATTCCCACCTTACTTTCTCAACAGATGTTAGAGGTAATTTAGTTAGTCCAGGCGCCCATTATATCCTAAAAGTCATGCTAGATAACCTAGAATGCTTCCAAGCACCTATAGATTCGCTACTATTTATCTTATAATGACTATTTAAATTGGACCGTACCATCCGATGGGAACAAGAACTCGTTGATGGACAGATAATTATAAAAATGTGTATGTAAGTTTTAAAGTGTGAAATAGACTACTAGATTCTCGTTAGACTGAGTTTCGGTATTTTTCCGAGCTTATTGTATGCCTCCGGACGTGACTATATGTAAAAATGCAGACATAGAGAAAAAACCGAGACACTATTACATTTATTCCGGTTAAAACCTATAATGAAATTCACGTGGTATGGTTAAGCGTTCGATTGTGCAATACAAGCGGTTTATTCAAATATTTTATATGCGTCTAGTATCTTGCGTCATTGTTACGTAAAAGTCGTTGGATTTTCCTTTCGGAAAATAATTGGAACATTCCAGAACCTTTTGATACCTGATAGTTGCGGTTCGACGATACGCACCTGATCGCTAGGAAAGCAATTTGTTATATAAAAAGTGACTTTAATCGTTTATTGCGAGTGCGTAAAACTAGCGTTTTATTTTTTGTATGTTCGAAAGGTATGCCCTGAGAAAAGTTCGATTATTCGATTCGACATAATTTGGTTGGGATACTTTTTTTTTCAGTTAGTTCGTGACTTATTAGTCCTTTGTTGAGTAAGTTTGCGACACACTAATTAACATTTTTAACGGGTAGATTAATTTTAATTTAATAATGAGGCAAATAAATTAATAAATTAATTTAATAATTTGAATCCGGGATCTTGATGAATAGTCAATCGGGCCAATTAATATCTTTAAAAGACAGTAAAAAAGTACTTTTCTATTTTGACCACAGGAACACAAATTTTCATTTTGATCAATGCAAACATTTGTAGCTCTCGACATTTTCCTTTCTCGTTTCTGTGGATTTCATTTTTTTTCTTTTCTGGGAAAAAAACATTGGCGTACCATTTTTTCTTTCAAAATATTAAAGTTAGTGCTCGTACGCACGCCACTGCTATAGCTAAAAATTATGTTTGCATTGAAAAACATGCGCTTTTATTAACTATCACTACGTACTAAATATCAATGAAATATCTCAAGCGGTTTAAAAAATATTAGTTAATTTCCTTCTTTTTCCTAAAATTGTAATATTTCGTAATTTCGCAACGGAACATTTTTAGTTTTTAAAGCAAACTATCATTAATTTCCCATATAGAATTACACATATATTCGCATGTCGTTAAGAAATGTAATATGGAATTCGTATTGTGGATGTAATTTCTCTTTGTTGTCTAACATAATTTGTCATTTATTTTCTAATTTTCCTAAAGACTGTTTCAACAAAATCTCAGGGTATTGATTATTTATTAGTACATTCTTCATGAATTTTATTCATTATTAAAAATTTTATTTAGTTAGAATTTAG